AGTACATGTATATATGTGTGTGTATGCATGCGCGAGTACATATATCAGTATACGTGTATGCCATTAATAAAAGCTCAAGCAATACAGGAAAATCAACAAAGGGAGATATGGTATATAACGGGAATAATTATTTGTATAATAAGTATAACCTGCTCTTGTATTTAGGCGGCTCGTTTCGAGGTAGGACGAAATAGAGGGTGATAGACGATCGAGGCGTGGTAGATAGAGGGGAATGGTTGCGAGACGGAAATTAGGTCATGCAAGAATATCGACGGACCGACATAATCACGGTGCATGGCTTGAATAAGGATATTAACGAGTCACGCTTCTCTCTCTTAAGATCCTTTCTACCGCCGCGTCGAACGAACTGGTGATTGAATGGGGGAGGGTAGTAGAGGAATCATGTTCGTTGGCGATCGATTCGCCATCTTGTGGCACGCCGATCGAACCCGAGGATCGACAGAACGAAGGTCGTTCGAAATCGATATACTATCTGAAACGCGGTACACACAGATGGATATTGCAGGATTTTAACGGAATCGGTCACGAATCGTGGTATTAACGTTCACCGTCATCGCAACGGCGACAATTCTCTTTGGGAATAGAGAGACTCATTAGCTGGGCTATATTTCTGTCCGAATAGAGAGCGTGCAAACGTACATCGGGCACGTAGAACGCGGAACAGCTTTGCCCGATATTGGCTCGACGGGATCGATAGATCGCCGGAACTTTCAATTGAAAGTGACTTTACATCATTAATGGAAAGGCCGTTTAATTGGTAGATTTTCATCGAACTGCTAGGAATTCAAATGATAAATGACGGAGCTGTCAGAGATAAAGTTTTTCATTATAAACGGAGCTAAATTTGTAAGATTTTACATTTATGTTGTTCATTATTTGAACGTTTGCTATTTTCAGAAGCAAATTTCTTTAAACTTGAATTTTACTTCCATTCGAACTTCTTGGTCCTATTCAATTTTCAACTCTAAAATAAATTATTCTGATATTTACATTTATTATTATATTTAACAAATAATCTATTACATTTTTTTTTTCTTTAATCAAAGGAACCGACCCCCATATCTTTTTAAATAGAAAACAAAAATTGTTTACGTTTCGCATTACAGTTCGAAAACACGTTGCTTCAAATTACCAGCGTAACTCTGTCTGATGTGATTAATATAGTGTTCCGTTATTCTAAATAAAGGTAAAACTACCGGAACGGCTGCCTAGCGCGTGGAATGAGAGAAAAGGCAACCCGGAAGGAAAATAAATCGCTCGCGAAATACACACAGCCCTCGCGATTACGTAGAATGGGGGACCACCGGAGCGGTGTGTACGAATTAGTGTGAGCTAAGTTAAAACAAACTGGTGAAATTCGTCGAGCCGGGTGAACGATTGATTAATACTTGCCTTGGCGCAGCTGTTCATAGGTACCCCGTTCCGTGAAAAATCGTTCTCGCGTAAACCGTGAAAGATTGGCAAAGTTGGCGGAAAACGAGGCGGCCGAAACGAAACTTCGGCTATGCGAATTTTGTTTCGCAAGTGCGAAAATCTAATATCGATCGGGAACAATAGATGAAGATATTTATTCACAGGGAAAGAATATCATTAAATTACTTAATATAAACGGATAGAGTATTTATGAATAATGGACATCAGAACGTTCTAATTTCTCGTTGTAAAAGATGCAAACATTAATTTAAATGTGTTACGACACTTTTTTTTAAAGAATAAAAAATAGAAAAATGACAGATGAAAGTATTGTCATAGATCAGAATTTCCAATCGAATCTTGTGTAAATCTATAAAACATACAATTTTTTTAAAGAATTTCAGTTCTTGTGCGATATTCAAACTAAAGTTTCCACATATATTAGCTCGCATCACAATTTTGGGCATTTGTAAAATTATTTTATGAATACAAAATCACGGTGATAAAAAATAAAAATTAAATATTTAAAGAGCTTATAGAAAGTGCAATCGCAATCGTATAAAAATCTTTTTGTCATACGTAATCAAATGGAAGCGAAATAATCTTATCAGGGATTTGTTCAAGATTGAAGAAGCATAGGTCGTGTATGTCAAATAACTTAAGACGATTTTACAATTGACAAACACGTTACTTTGCTTCTCACACAGAAGAATTAAAAGTATTAATTCCAAATTGTGAATACAAGATTATTACTAATATCAATGTTACTTCACGGACGTAAACATAATATAAATCTTCAGTACTTATCCAGTTCTGTAAATCTTATTCTCGTGTCGTTAATGAATTCTTTTGTACATAAAAATAGCTTATATAGTCTGTGTCTATATAACTGCTAATAAAAACACGCCATGTCATATCGTTGCTTGTACGCAGAAAAATAATCACATTTCATTTCCTAAACTACATATTTAAAAAACTCCAACATTTTGATTCAGTTATGATAGAAACGCTAATAAACAATAAAAATTAATTTAACATCCAAAAGAT